ATCTTTAATAAATAAATAAATAAAAAGAAAGAAAGAAAGATATTGGAACTCCTGTACACTACTGGTGGAAATGCAAAATGGTGCAGCCATGGAAAACAGTATGGAGAGGTTCCTAAAAAATTAACAACAGAAATATCATATGATCCATGAATCCCACTTCTCGGTATTTATCCAAAAGAATTGAAATCAGGATCTTGAAGAGATATTAGCACTCATTTGTTCCCTGCAGTACTACTCATAATAGTCAAGATATGAAAACAACCCAAATTCACATATGGATGAGTCTGTGGATAAAGAAAATGTGGTATATACTTAGAATGGAATACTATTCAGCCTTAAAAAAGAAGGAAATCCTACCATATGTGATAACATGGATGAAACTTGAAGACACTAACCTACATGAAATAAGCCAGTTACAGGACAAATACAGCATTATTTGACTTATATGAGATATCTAAAAAGAGCAAAACTCATAGAAGCAAGAGTAGTCACCAAAGGCTGGGGTTATAGGGAAACGAGCAGTTGCTAATCAACTAGTATAAAGCTTTAATTATGCAAGGCAAATAAGTGCTAGAGATCTGCTATACAATACTGTGCCTAAAGTTAACAATATTGTAGTATACACTTAAAAATCTCTTGAGGGTAGATCTCATGTTAAATGATCTTATCACACTTAAATTTTTTTTAAAGATGTTATTTATTTGAAAGAGAGAGGGACAATGAGTATGAGCAGGGGGGAGGGGCAGAAGGAGAAGCAGACTCCCCACCGAGCAGGGAGCTGGACATGAGGCTTGATCCCAGGATCCTGAGATCATGACCTGAGCCAAAGGCAGACGCTCAACCAACTGAGCCATCCAGGTGCCCCTCACAATTAAATTTAAAAAGAAAGAAAGAATAAAAAGCAGTTGTAAGAATTTACACGCTACCAGCAGCTTGAGGGTGCTGCTCCACATTCTCATTTATTCTTTCTAATGTCAGACTTAAATTTTTGCCCACGTTACAGGTGACATAATGGTATCCCACTGCATTTTCAATTTGTATTTCCCTGATAACTAATAAAATTAAACTCTTTTTTCACATGTTAAAAAAAAGCTAATAGTATTTCTCTGTACCAACAATACCAATTAGAAAACTGTAGATGCTCACAATAGCAACACAATCTACTTGAAAAATCTAGAAAGTAACTACACAAAGAACAAAAAATTGCTATGGAGAGTAACAGTTATAACACACATCCTGGGTTTTGTTTTTGGGCTAAGTATAGTTTTGGTTCTGGTTTGTGCAAGGCTGTAAGTTATAGTGATTAGGAATCTGATTTTGTGGTAATTTCTATAGGGATAATAGAAATCTGTTCCAGTTATCTGGGGATCCCTTCATTCTCTGTTAAGTGAGATGACAGAGAATCTGGATTGTTATCTTCCCTGTGGGTCTGTTTATAATATTTTGTGCCTCCTGGAAAGGAAAAAAAAATCTTGGGAGATCTGCATTGGTAAGTTCTTTAGTTCTTTGTTTATTCTATCTTATGGCTAAATTGTAAAACTAAAGTTGTACCTACAGTTGAGAAAAGTTTTTTTTGTTGTTTTATCTTGAAGCTTTTTTTTTGAGATGTAACTGACAAAAAAACTTTTACCTAATAATAGGGTGTGAAATATTTTCCTACTTCCAGAAAGTATTAATAAACTTAATTATGAAGGGTCATAACTTAAAGGAGCTCACACCAAAAGCACATGCAACCAAAGAAAAAATAGATAAACTGGATCTTGTCAAAATTAAAAACTTGTGCTTCAAAGGACAAAATCAAGAGAGTGAAAACACACCTACTAAATGGGAGAAAATACTCACAAATCATAAAGTTGATAAGACTTGTATCTAGAATATATAATTAACTCAGAAATTCAATAATAAAAAGACAACCCAATTAAAAATGGACAAAATCATTACCTATCATCTCCTCACCTGAACAAAGGCCTCTTGTCAGCTCTCTTTCAACCATCCAGGGTTCTTTTCCTTGTTCCAATAAGGAAATTACAGCTGGCTTAGAATTGGAAAGTCCTGATCACAAAAAAAGACATGGACATTGTTACGCTGTGGGTGTCCCAGAAATCAGATCCAGTCCCTTGGTGACCAAGAAAATGATGCCACTATAGGAAGGACCAGAGAAAAGATGAAGATGAAGCTTCAACCCACTGGAGCTGCTCATTTCATACACGTCCATTCTGTTCCAACTCAAACCATTCCTTGAGGAACAGGGAGCAGAAATTTAGCTGGTTACTTGAAACAAATAATTCATAATGGAGAAAGGAGACATTCCCAAGGGTAGACTCTGAATTTTGGGGGACAGTTATCCTTACCCACTGAAACCAGGTTGCTGAAATTTTCCAACATCACTTCTTTGTATAAATTCATCTGACCCGAGTCCAGGCATTCCCATTCCTCCTGAGAGAAGTTTATAGATACATCCCTGAACATCATTGACCCCTGAAACAACAAACATGCTTTCACAGTGGAAGGAGATTAAAAAAAAAAAAAAAGATGGTAGTAGAGATGGTGGTAGAGCTTATTAAGCAAATTGAAGGGGCTGGAACTCTATTATATTAGTAGAAGACATATCTTTTGTGTACAGAGGGATACATCAAGGAACATGCAAGTAAACATTTCCTATGTCATAAAATAGCAAGCATACAGCTCAATGCTCCATGCCTGGCTATAGTGAAATGTGCATATATGTGAATCTTTCCCCGTTCCCATATTTTCCTTTTAAGACCCAGAAGAGAGAACAATGTGATGTACTTTAAAAAAACATATTATGGGGGGGGGGTGCCTGGATGGCTCAGTCATTAAGCGTCTGCCTTCGGCTTGGGTCATGGTCCCAGGGTCCTGGGATCAGGCCCCACGTCGGGCTCCTGGCTCGGCAGGGGGCCTGCTTCTCCCTCTCTCACTCCCCCTGCTTGTGTTCCCTCTCTTGCTATGTCTCTGTCAAATAAATGAATAAAATCTTTAAAAAAAAAAAAATCTTATGGGGGGCGCCTGGGTGGCTCAGTCTTTAAGCATCTGCCTTCAGCTCAGGTCATGATCCCAGGGTCCTGGGATCGAGCCCCACATCGGGCTCCCTGCTCAGCAGGCAGCCTGCTTCTCCGTCTCCTACTCACCCTGCTTGTGTTCCCTCTCTCGCTGTGTCTCTCTCTGTCAAATAAATAAATAAAATCTTATTAAAAAAATCTTATTATACATTTTGGAGTAAAATTTCAGAGTATTAAGGAAAAATAGAACTTTCTAAAAGCTTCCAGGAAGAAAACATGGATCATATAAAAATTTTCAGGAATTAAAATCTCAGTGGACTTTTCAACAGCACCACTTGAAGTAAGAAAAAAAAAGTGATTCCCTTAATATTACAAAGGAAAATTAATTCTGGCCTAGCATATCTTAAAAAAAAATAGCAATGTAGGAATATGAATTAGAAATATAGGAAAAAAGGGGCACCTGGGTGGCTCAGTCGGTTAGGTATCTACCTTCAGCTCAAGTCATGATCTCAGGGTCCTGGGATCGAGGCCCACATCGAATGCCCTGCTCAGTGGGGAGTCTGCTTCTCCCTCTTCCTCTCCCTCTGCCTCTAACCCCACTCGTGCTCTCTCTCAAATAAATAAAACCTTAAAAAAAAAAAAAAGAAATATAGGAAAAAGGGCACCTGGCTGGCTCAGTCAGTGTGGAGTGAGCACTTCTTGATCTCAGGGTTGTGGATTTGAGCCCCACATTGGCTGCAGAGATTACTTAAAAATTAAATTAAAAAAAAATAAAAAGAAATATAGGAAAAGTGCCAAGAGAAACTGAAAAAAATTTGAGGGTAGCCACCTAGGGGAGTGGGATTAGGTACTGGGACAAAGCCCCGCCATTTTTCATTAAGTCTTCTAAAATTTCTTGAATTTTTTAAATACAAAATTGGTTAAACATTAATTTAAAATATCACCATCGGGGTGCCTCAATGGTACAGTCAGTTAAGTCAGTTAACTCTTGGTTTTGGCTCAGGTCATGATCTTGGGGTTGTGAGACAGAGCCCCACGCTGGGCTCCTTGTGCAGCACGGAGTCTGCTTCAGATCCTCTCTCCCTCTCCCTCTGTCCCTCCTGCTCGTGCTCTCTCTCAAATAAATACATAAATCTTTGAAAAATAAATAAGTAAAATATCACCATCTTAGACAAGAGTATAACTTAAATTTCTTGAAAATTACAGTTCTCTTATGACTGTTATAAGAATTATTCCCTATTAACATAAATTCTTTAACTTTTATAATTTTACTGGTGGCAGAATTTTCCACAATATAAACATTACTGAAAAAAAAACCTTTCAAAATCTTAAAAAAAAAAAAAAAGGGTGGGGGCGCCTGGGTGGCTCAGATGGTTAAGCGTCTGCCTTCGGCTCAGGTCATGATCCCAGGGTCCCGGGATCGAGCCCCGCATTGGGCTCCCTGCTCAGCGGGGAGCCTGCTTCTCCCTCTCCCTCTGCCTCTCCCCTGCTCATGCTCTCTCTCTCTCTATCTCTGTCTCACATGAATAAATAAAATCTTAAAAAAAAAAAAACACCTTTCACTTCAGCCATTTTGTTAGGCAAAATCCTTAAGATCCTTTCCAGATATGGTCTTCCCTCTCATACCTTTCCCTATGCAGCTCTACCATTTTGCTGTTCCTGAATTGCATTCTTTATAGTAAAACTGTGATCAGATATGTAGTACTTTCCTGAGGTCTATGAATCATTCTAATCAATTACTGTACCCGAGTGGGGATCATGGGAATGCCTCAATTTGTGGTCTGCTGGGCAGAAGTGCAGGGCCATGGGGCTACCCAAGGCTTGGAGCTGCTGTCTGAAATAGGGCAGTCTTGTAAGGCTAAGCCCCTAAACCTGTGGGGCTCTGTGTTAACTCTGGGTAATTAGTGTCAGAATTGAATTGTAGGGACACTCAGTTGGTGTCCAAAAATTGGTTGTTGAAAGATGACACACACTGTCCATCCCATAGAAAAAATCAGGTTATTTCTTCATCTTAGACTCTAAGGTCCAAAGTAGTATAATGAAATTGTTTAGGAAAATTTTTGCTGTGTTTTCTGGAGTTTAGAGGGAACAGAAACTGGTATCCAGTCCCCTTTTTGGACCAGATGTGGACCCAATGGAGGGACAATGTGATTCCCAACAAAGCAGTAGAGCACAGAATCCCCAGTGTAAGACAGGTATCATAAGTAGACATTTCAGGGGCACCTGGGTGGCTCAGTCAGTTAATCGCCTGACTCTTATTTTTTTTTTTT